GCAAGAAAACGGATAACACTATCCAATAGAAAGTCGGGGGTCCTCTATCGAATGGTACAAAAAATACCAACCTCGCACTTAAAGTAAAAGATGGTTCCTTGTTAGATATTTTCTTTTTTTTCCCACAGCTTTTAAAATCATACTTGTTAAATCGTCGAAAAGATTTTAGAAAAATAAAATTTTTAAAAATTTAATAGTCCTTTTCTTAATTTGCTCATCTTTAGGACAATTGTGGACTCTCCAAAGTATTGTTAAACTTTGCAAGAAATATGGGGCCGAGGAAGTTGGTGATTTGTCTGTGCGATCTGAAACTGCCTCTCCAAAAGCGAACTAAAATTGTTTAAAAAATGATTATTCTCCATTTAAAATATTTTAATTTTTTGTTGTTAAATAAATAAATTTTGTTTTTTTATTTTTCAAAACTTGATTCGTTCAATTCAATTTTTATCCATTTTAAATTTCTTCAGGTTTGGGGGCACTAACGTTGTGTTGAAGTTTTTTCCATACGAAAAAATTTTTAATTGACAACTTTCTTATTCATTGAATTATAAATTATTTATGAATTTTATTGAATTATTAATTTTCTGCAAAAACATGCAATTTTGAATTTCCTCCTTTTTTCTATTCCTAATTTTTGATTTTAAAAAATTCTAATATTTTTTATTAGCTATAAAAAGTATTGACCGGATCCGGCCGGATTTTTCCGCAGTCCGGGAGGCCTATTCCATCAAACGACATTGACATTAAATGTCGCGACATTTCGCAATCGGCCGACATTCCGATTGCGATTGTGTTCCACATAGCGACTTTAAAATTATTTTGTGACAACGACATTGCATTTACTTTTAGCGACATTGACAGCGAAATGTCGCGATTGTGTTCCACATAGATTTAAAATTTGAGTGTCAATCGACACTAGCAATCAAAATGTCGATTTTCGGCGACACAGCGTTAGGGCTATGTCGTTAATGAGAAATTGTGTTTTTAAAATTCAAAATACAAACTAAAAATTACAAAGTAAATATTTTTAGAGAGATTAGAGTGTGCTCTTTAATTTTATATAAGTTTTAAAAATTTTTGGTCAAAAATAAATTTTCTATAATCTCTCGCAAAAAGTACCCCATTTTTTAGCGAAAAAGGGACTCGTTCTCTCCAATAAGCAATCGATTATTTCAATCAAGGATCCTTAATCGAAATTTTCGATGAAATTTTTTATAAGTGTACTTTTTTATAAATTTTATGCAGATTTGATTATTTTTTATAAACTAATGACCTCCGATTAAAGTTTTATTCAAAAATCTCTTTATTTAGGGATAGGTAAGGGAACTGCTTGTCGTTCAATAAGAGAAGTTACGTCAGTGATTAATGAGGAATTCCAACATTCAATTGTTTGGCCGCAAAAAGTAGATTATTGTTCAGCTATTGCAAGAGATTTTTTTTAAATTGCTGGCTTTCCTTTTGTTTGTGGTCGAATTTGAATTGAAACTTCGAATTTGAAAAAATTCACAAATATTCGATCGAATCTCGAATACCTAATTTAAAATTTCCTTAATCACTCTAAATCCACTAAAATTCTCTTAATCACTCCAAATTTTCCTCAATGGATAAAGGAAAGACAAAATTCAAGAAAACAACTTAAGAAATAAACTAAAAAATAGATAACGAACAAAATTTAAACAAAAACAAATAGCTTAATGATGACATCGACATTTCGACAATGACATAGACCTATTTCTTTAGTGGAACACAATCGTGTGTCACTGTCGACAATTGGTGTCGATGTCATTAGAAATGTCACAAATTTAGTTGTCGCTTAGTGGAACACAATCCTATGTCAATGTCGCAATCGCGATTGACACTTGGACATCGACATTTGATGTCATTGTCGTTTGGTGGAATAGGCCCCGGGTCCCAAATCCGGGTTTTTTCGCGATTTCCGGATTTTTTCCGGACCGGATTAATCCTGAAAAATCCGGCCGGATCCGGTCCGGCATGAGTGTAAAATCCAAAATCCGGTTTCCGGGCCCGGAAAAATGATTTTGCCGGTCACTAAAACATAAAAAGATTTCAAAAAATATATTTTTATTTTAAATTCGTTAAATCTTTTTAAATTTCCAATTATATTAATGGAATGTTTTTGGAGTTTTTCTCCTTTACAATAATAATCTAAATTAGTGCGGAGGGGGTTTTCTGGCGCAATAATATTTTCTTTATATTTTTTTCCGTTATTCAACCAACAATAATCTCCCCCACATCCGTCCCTTCATAAAAATTCCTTTGACTTTATTTTTCTGAAAGCCTGCCTTGAATTCCCCCCAAAGTATCTCGGTTCATTAATCTGAATTTCTTTGTCATTTACGAGAAAAAAAGTTCAAACTCCGATGTTCTAAATCTCATATGTAGACAGTCCTAATAAACGTCTTTCCCACTAATAGAATAAATTATGGATATAATTGCACCAGAAATCCCCTAAAATTTTAAAAATTCTTTAAAAAATTTTCTTTTAACCTTCAATCAATTTAAATATATATATTTACATAAATTGTCTTCTCTCCTCTTCCTTAACTTCTTCCATTCTTCTCTTTTATTTATTGCCATAACATAAATATAATTAACACCAAAAAAGAGCAATAGCTAATTAACATTAAAGGCTTAATTGCCTTTGAAGAAGAAGAATAATTATTGTTAAAATTAGTATTTTGGCAATATTCTTCAAGTGAAGGTTTTGCTTTATATATTTCTGAACGATTTGTAAATGTTTTTAAACTACATTCATTTTCACAGCCAGTGATGTGTTGTGTTACATCTATAGTATCTTTGCTTTCTGGTGGCCAATAAAAGGCCTGAAAATTGGTGGAAAATGAGTGTAATAAGTTAACAGTTTCTTGATGGAATTTGGGATTCTAAGGCCTCACAGTTTTACAGTTGACGCTGGTTGTAAGAACCCCTCGATAATAGAGACCTCTCGATATAAAAGACAAACAGAAATTGAACTTCTCGAAAAATCTCCTCTTGAAGAAGGTCTCCTCATCTCGGTCTGATATTCCATTCCTATAGTAAATAGTGTAGATCCCGAATATTTATTAAAAGATTTTTAATGACCTGAAAGTGTAAATTCCTCCAACTATTATTTTCTAAACAGTTTTTAATTTCTCCCATTTTCTAAGTGTTTTCCGGGTATTTTTAAAAGGATTAACCCTAAGAATCTCAATTTCTTTGATTCCTTCCAATTTTTCCCTTACTCTTATACAAATTTTAAAAATATAAAAGAAAACCCAACTTTAATATAAGGATCCCCTCCACTGTTGTTTGCCCATAATTCAAAAGTAATGCATGTTGTGTAATGTGGAAATCTTTTTAAATAAAATTATTGTAAATATACTTAATTAATAATTTTACCCATCTTCTTGATAATTAGTTTTTGGGAAACCTAAAGTTGAGAATAAGGCAGCAAGTGTTGAATCGTGCTTAAAATTAGGAAAATTATTTTTTTTGAGAAAATAACTATTTATTATTCATAAAATACGGACTCCTGTTAAAGTAGCACCACAAAAGGATAAAAGCAGAGTTGGGTCGGAAATCTGATTCCCCCGATATTCATTGTTTTTCAAACTTCGATTTCCGCTTTGTAAATTTGCCACAAAATCTCCGATTTCCGAATTCGATTTTAGACTTCCTTCATTTGAGCCGGTTACTGAATTTAGCATTTCCGACCCAACTCTAGATGGACGTGACGCTATATTCGTTGTTATATTTGAGAGGATCTACTGTTTTAATCACACTTGTTATAAAGGTTATATCACTATTATAAATCCCCTTCTATCCAAATTCCACTAGCATAACGGAGGGGAACTTTAATAATTTTAAGAGACAAAATACTTATTTTTTCCAAAAAATAAATATATTTTCTCAAAACTTACAGCCGAATAAGCAAAATATTTTCTTGTACTAATCCATTGACAAATAGGATTACCCAATGGAGAACTATTTTGAACTAAAAATTTTATTTAGAAAATTTTTTTTCTCCAAAATTTTTGCCTGATCGTGGAGTTCTATTTTTATCAGCATCTGGCTTTAAACAATGCATTTTTGCCAACATATTTCCAATAAGTAGCCAAAGTATTGGCCCACCATGAATTCTTGGGAGTTCTAGACTGAAGTCAACGCCGTTGAAGGGTTTAAGGCCTTTAATTGGTTAAAATTTCGAAATAGATTTTTTTGAATGTTTTTTTAATCTTATTTTAAATTTCTAGGGAAAACAGAAAATTTGAGTTTTTATGCGGACAAAATTGCGGACAAAGTTAGCGGACAGAATTTTTTGCGGACAACGTTTGCGGACAAGACATAGGTATGTATCTCGGAATTTTTTTTCCTAAGTTGTGCCATAAATATTGTGACTGAAAGGTTTTTTAAAGGTCCTCTTCCTTTTTGGAATTTTCTTTATAAAAATATTTATTTTTATGTTTACCCCTTCCATTATTCCATTCATTCATTAAATCGCTAATATTTTTAATTTCAGCCCTAATAGTTTTGTTTTGTGTCCATTCTGGCATTTCTAATTTTAATTTATTTTTGTAAAGATCTTCAATAAAAAGAGTATCTTGTAACATTCCAACATTTGAAGTATTTATTGCTTGCCCACAAAATTTTGTTAAATCGTCAAATATCCACTAAAGTTGTGTTTTTATATGGCTAAACTCGAGTAAAGCTTATGGGCTATAGCTATTTCTCCCCTTCAGCTAGTGCAAAAGGTTATTCGGCGGCAGGGAGCGAACCAGCATCTTCAGTAGACGGACTGATGTGTTATCCATAACACCACGCCGCCTACTGCACAGCCTTAGGAATTAAATAGCTATATGCTTTGCATTTGACAAATAAATTTAATCTCCCTTTATTTAATTTAGTCCTCTCTTATTTCTTTTTATTAGAGTTCAGGCCGAAACTAGAACTCATTAAAATTCGATATCGAGATTTCAAATCTCTACTTTTCAAGACTATTTTTAACGAATTCCGTCTTTCTCTCTCTCGTTCAATTCTTTATTCAATTCTGAATTCCAAAGAGAGACTAATAAAGGTGAGGGAGAATCTACAGTAACCCCCACCTTCTTATCACTCATTAATTTCTCATATTCGGGTGTTTTCTTCATCAATATTTGCATTTCAGATAGTCTAGGACAAGGAGAAACCATATCTGTGACGAGTTGATCACCATGACTGCTAGTAGAGTGGACAGCGACGGGGGTAAAGCTTTAAGAGAAATTTTTTGAAAATTTTCCCCCAAAAATTTCCAACCCTTTTGGCCAAGCATCTTCAGGAAAGTCTTCTCCCGGTTCTCCATTCTTATAAAACCCAACCATATTTGAAATAGCACTAGTTAATGTTCTATTAAAGTCTGTACTTCTTACATAAATTTCTGTACTTTTATAACGAGGACTGACAAATTTTAATTCTCTAATATATTTTTGAGCAAGTTTATCACCCAAAATAACTTGTTGAGACATTCCTTTCTTTAATAAAAATTAAAATTTAATGAGAGAGAAAAATTTCAATCTCTTCGAAATTAAGGTTAGTGGATCCGGATCAGAAAAAAGTTACATATCCGTAAAGTTTCGGTTCGGATCCGGATAACCGAAGATTTCCAACTATCCGCCAACCTTAATCGTAATGGATGCTTCTATTAGAGCGAGTTTCTATTAGAACATTCACGTGATATTCTTCTTGAACCTTTGTGTTCTACGTGTCACCTCAATCCTTAGTCCTTAATGATGGAAAATCCATGGGCAGGTTTAAGTCTTACAACTTGAATAACTATCATTCCCAATACTCCCCGAAACCAATAACTCTCTTTATAGAGGCTTTAGTATTGATATTTTAATTTCCACGTGGATTAAAGGATTTTCATCTTATGTCATTAAAGAAATAAAATTTTACAGGTGTAAGTTGCCCCCATCCTTGTAGCCATCTATCCTCCTTAATTGGATCATTAGCATAAGTAGTAATTGGCCAACGATCACCATGACGCCAAAACTAAAGATTAAAATTAAAAAATATTTTTCTAAAAATTAATCTCTCACAGCTTGTACAAGCAATAATTCATCTTTAGACTCAACAAAAATTCCAAACTGCGCAATAAATAAAATAAAAAATAAAAAGAAGATAAGGACAGAAAATGAAAATTTATTCATTTTTTGGTGAGAAGACCAATAAACGAAAAAATAAAAATTTTTGAGAAGGAGGGAAATGAAATGAAGTGAAGAAGGGAGAAAGAGAGAGAGAGGGCCTTTTACAACCCTTCTTTCCTCTCTCGTTCTAAAAATTTTTTTTAAAGCTTAAAGTGATAAAATATTGTTTTAATGGTATTTGGGGGGAGGGGGGGGGGGGGAAGAGGAGAAGAAAAGAGAGGAGGAAGTAAGGTATAAAAGCAAACAAAAAAAAGTTTTTTAAAAAAAAAGTTTGGGAGAAAGGAAAGGAAATTTAAAGAAAAAAAATTAAATTATTAAATGTTGGAATGGAGTGTTGGCTTTATTTGAAATTAAAAAATTAAATTGTCTGTTTCTCTCTCTTTTAATTTAAAAAACCTGTTTTTATTTAAAAAAGATTTTTGAATAAAAAAAGAGAAGGGAAGAATTAATTTATTTAATTTAAATAGGGATAACCCTAAAGATCGAAGGAGATAATAATGTTTTCCTATCTCTATTTGAACGAGGATTTAACAGGAAAGATTATTCTCATATATCCGTTCCCTTATTTTTATCCTTTCAAAGATATCCAACTAAACAAACAAAGTTAAATCAGCCTATAAGATTTAATTCCCATGGGTGGTCCTTACACTTAACTTTGTAAACAAATCATTGTTGTAATGTTGGTAATGAGAGCAGGGTTGGTGTTTTCGAATCGGTAAGACGTTTGAGTCATTTTTTCGGGCCGAATCGGTTGAGTCAATTTACGGGCCAAAATTCGAAGTCCGATTCGATCTTTCGAACCGAGCCGGGCCCCTAACCCTAAATGAGAGGTTCGATATTCGTTGTTGGTGATCTTACAAAATTAATTTGTTAGTTAATATTAAAGTTGGTAAACGGGATGGGATTGAGGAAAGGATCTTTAGACATGTCTTCCATAATTTGCCTTTTTTTTAAATTAAATTCCTATCCTAACAGTAAAGAAGACCCCAGACTTTTTGAAAAACAATTTTTTCTTTAATTAAACAAAATCAAAGTTTTATTTAATTCATTTAACAATGCTTACTAAGGGAACAAACAAAAATTTAAACAAAAAAATTTAATAAGTTTTTATATATTAAAATGACTGTAACGATTAAATAACACAAATATGTATGACAATAAAAATTTTATTTTATGCCTTACTTTGCATTTTTAAAATAAAAATAGAAAAGGAAAATATACAAAAAGTAGAAGAAAACCACGTTTATTTCAATGAATTTTGTTATTGTTTAGTTGGAAATTTTAAAAATATTTTTGTTGGTAAAAAATTAAAATTGTTTTACATAGCTTTGAATTTTTTGTTTTAGCTAAAATTAATTTTTCTAAACTTCACTATGAAATTGAGAGGGATACTGTAGATTTGGTGGAGAAGTTAGAAAATGTCTTCAAGTCTGTGATAATGTCTTGACTCTTCTATTGTTATATTTGTTAGAAAATTATTTTAAATTTTAACAGAACTCCCAATAAATTCCTTCATCAAAACATAAAAACAGAAACACAATTGGATGAAAAAACATTTTATACACGGAGTATTTTTCAAATGGACATTTGTTCAATTGGGCATTTTGTCCCATGTCGAAGTATTCTTTTGTTCCACTTCCAACGCAATCATTTACTCTTTTTCTTTCGTATCCCCTCAAAATCTCTATTCCTTAAAATCTCTACTGGGCTAAAATGCCTTATAATCTCTACACAGCTAAAATGCATTAAAATCTCTACTCGGCTAAAAATGATTAAAATAACTATTCCTTAAAATCTCTATTCCTCATAATCTCTACAAGGGTAAAATGCCTTAAAATCTCTACACGGCCAAAAATAGGATAAAATGTCTATTTTTTCATTCGGAAGCCTTTTGAGTGCCAACGTTCAGTGCGGAAACGTTGTTCTGATTTCTGGCTTATCTTTTGATATTATTTTGCTTGTATTGTTTTTGCCGCTGCGGATGAACCCAGGCATGTCCAGCGGAACGACAGCAGCCGCTTCGATACGATCACCGCAAGCAAAATGAACACGACCGCAGCGAAGCAGTCGTGTATTATATCTTCAATATTTACAGCGGATACAAGCAGATATCCGCAGCCATTTTTAAATCAATTGTATCCGTATCCATTACCAAGTCTGGGTTTTCCAATGAATAGTTCATATTTTACACTTTTGTTGAGACTCTACCGTCCATTTGCACGGTGTAGAGATTTTAATTATTTTTACCCCGGTAGAGATTTTAAGGAATAGTTATTTTAAGGAATAGAGATTTTAAGCATTTTTACCCTAGTAGAGATTTTAAGGAATAGCGATTTTAAGGAATAGAGATTTTGTATGGGAGCCTTTTCTTTTCTTTAATTTTCATTGCGTCTCTCTCTATTACTTTTCTTTATTCTTTCAACAATTTTGTTTCTCAATTGTTAAAATATCAAAAAATAAAATTTTCATAATACCAATTCCTTATAAATATTACAAAACATCCCTTCTCTCTGTGTTGACGTTCTCAATTTTATTTCTCTATTAGATATTATGAAATTTGTTTATTTTTCAAAGAATTTTTTCGTCATTGTTGTGCTAGTTGCGTTACGCTTTAAATATTTTCACGTTACACGTTTAACCTCTTTTTTATTTTTCTTTTAACTTTACCGCAATTAATTAGCCTCTACGTATTTTTATTATCAATTAAAGTCTAGATTTATTAATGCAAGCAGAAAATTGTTAATTTTTGTTGAAAAACAAATAAAAGAAATATTTAATTTTATTATTTTGCTTTATTTGTGACGTTTAAAATTATTTAAAAAATGACGCGGGTATTCTCAATAACTACTATATTTGTATATTTTGTATGTTTTTTTGTCTTAAACTTGAATATCTGTTAATTTCTTAGCTTGTCTTTCATTGGAGCTTTATTTCAAAAACAGTTTCTAACAAAGAAGGAAAACAAGATTTTCCGACAAAACTTTGTGGTGATCCAAAATGTGAAGGTTTTTGCAAACTTTTAGTTGTTAGATTAATCAAATTAAGTAACACTCTTCTCTTCAAAATTTATACGAGACTATTCTCCCGCTGAGGGCGTAATGATGTTAACTGCAAAAGAGAAGGATGAAGTTAATGTTGTGGCTATCAAATTCTCAAATAGGCCAGACTTTTTTGAGGCTAAGGTTGGTTATTTTGAGGAATTTATATTCAAATTGTGTACAGGGGTTTTTCTCCATTTGTGCCTTTTTTTCAAATTAAAATTGAACTTCGTACCCCCCTTTTTTATCCTTCCACAAAGTGGAAGGATGGTCAGACTTAAAATGTGACTGACCATTTTGGCTTTTTTGGAACGAAAGCAAGGGGTTACAAAGTCCAATTTTACCTTTTTTATCTGTAATCCGATGAAATTTACGGAAATTTTATATTACAATTTTTAATATACTAAATTTTGATGTCCAGCATAGGCTTATTCACTTTCTGCTCCTTAAACTTTAAAATACTCAAAATTAAAAAAATCTCAATTCAGAAAGGAGAAGCGCGTGGTTTAATTTATAAGCAACATATTGATGGCACACCTTTCATACAATTCTTGGAAAACGCACTAAAAAATAATTTGACACTTTTTGTTGTTGAACAGGATACTAAAAAATTTATACGTTTGTTTTAAATTTTATTTTAAATTAAAAATGTTAAATTTAAGGGGAAATAAACGCTTTTCCTGAATTAATTAAAGATTACACTGTTTATGTAAAAGAGATTAAAGATTATCAAGTTGATAAGGATCTATTCGAGAAAGTTGCGTTGCTTGATGGTGGAACAACACAAGAAAGAGCTAAAGAAAAGTTTGTTTTTTAATTAATTTTTATAAATCCTTAACGTTATTAAAATTTGGGGGATAAGGGGCGCCTCTTTTTTATCAGTGGTTTGCCCTGGTTTTTGAAAAAATCTGTTTTAAATTAAAATGATAGTCTGTAGACTATATTTATTAGGTATAGATTTATTGTTAGATCTTTTCCAAATTTTAAATTAAGTTAAATAACAATTACTGTTAAATTGCTGTGGAATTAACCCTATAACAGTTAATTTACCTTTTCTTGTTTAAAATTAATTTTAAAGGTTAATTTAAAAATTTTCAGAGTTATTGCGAGTTCAGAAAGCACTGAGAATCCAAATAAATTGAATACATTGGATGGAGAAAATCAAAAATTAAATGAAAATGTAGAGAAGAAAAATAATGTTGAAGAATCCAGAAAGGATGACAATAAAAACCCTTCTGTTCCTTTAGAAGTTTCTAATCAAAATTTAAAAAGTAATGAAGAAATAAATAAAAATCAACAAGAGCAAGCAAATTTAAATGAAAATCAACCATCAACATCAGTAGAAAATCAGGCGAAAATAAATGAGAATCAAATTGATGAGACAAAAGGAAAAAAGGTTTTTAACGGAAAATTAATGTTTAGTAGAAGAATGAAAGTGAAAACATTTCAGGAAAAAATTGATGCGAATATTGTGACGGCTTTGAATGATTCTGAACCTGTTAAATCTGAAGGAGCTAAAGAGGGGGATGTCAATACACAACAACAATTGGTGAATGAAAAGAAAATTGAAAATGAGAATGTTGAACAAAATTCGGATGAAACACAAAATTTGGAAGAAAATCAAAAATTAAAAGTTGATGAGAATAAAGAAGTCAATGATCAAGAAAAGAATGAAAAGACATATAAACAAGTTAATGCGCAACCACAAATTCAAGTACCAACTACAGTCCAACCGCCATTTTCAAGCGAACAACCTTCAGAACATTCGGTATTCTATTTTTTAACGTTTCCCGTGTTATATTCATTGAGGGATGGGGCTTAAGTTATATTTCCCTCATTAAAAATTTATTTCAAACGAATATTTTATTTTTTATAGCAACAACAACCTTTTTTAAATTCATCAGTTTCTATAGACCCTCCCCTACCTCAACCTTCTATTTCACCTGTATCTGACCCTATTGCCTCTCCGGAAGTATTAATCATGCAGAAAGATCAGACGAAAGATGCTGGAGTTGAAGCGACAAATATGTCACCACCACCAGTTGTTCAAAATCAATCTATGAATCGGGCAGCTAATGAAGAAAAATCTGCGGAGTCAACTAATATTTTGAATGTTAAGAAAGGAGAGGATGAAAAGCCACAAATTAATGATGTTAAAGGAAAGGATGAAGAGCTACCCGTTTTAAAGAAAGGTGGATTGGAACAACAAAATATGTCAGAAGATCCAAAACCTTCTTTACGTGAAGAGACGGATCCATCAAAACAACCGGAAGTGCCTGATAAGAAGATTGAGCAGCCAATGGAAAATAGTCCTAAAATTGATGATCAACAAAAAAGTACGGAACTTCCTCCACCATCACCCCCTCCATCACCTCTTGTTCCAAATATTCCTATGGATGAAAAGGCAAATGGAATTGACAACATTAAAATTAAAATGAAGGAAGATACTTCTGCTCAAATAAAAAATAATATAGAAAATGTTAATCAACAATATTCTCCTCCTCCACTACCACCACCTCCATATTCACCCCCTCCATCACCTCCTGTTCCGAATATTCCTAAACCTCCGATTGAGGTCGTACAACCAAACATTGAGTTAAATAATAATCCTCCTATGGATGAGAAACAACAGCAAGCAGCTACTCCTACTTCCGGCGATCACAGCAACATTGGAGATTCAAAAGAGGAAAGCAGCAAAGAAAATACTCCTAAAACAGATATAGGACAACAACAACAAACTGATCCTAAAGCAGATATGGGACAACAACAAAACGATCCCATTAAAGATATGCAAGAGCAAAAAACTTTCCCAGAAGATAAGGTCCGATTGTTATTTTGGGAGGATTTGGTTTAAAGGAATAGGCATATTTTTAAAGGGGCGTGCAGAGTTATTATTAGTCTATTAATTAGAACAATTGGACAGTTATATAATTGATTAGCAAAAAAGCAATTGCGTTTCTCTTTTTTCTAAACAAGTTTCCTATTACGCATTTACCGCATATCAACGATTTTTTAAATTTAAATCAATCGCCATAAAAGGCTGATATCAAAGATTCCTTTGTCTTTATTTCGTTTCATTTTTTTTAATTATTAAATACAGTTTGTATATCACCTTCTTAATATTTTTTCTCAAGAGAAGAAATAAAAAAGATTTAACAAATAATAAAAAACAATAGGAAAATGTGTGATATACAAATTGTTTTATTAAACTTTTCTTAGCTTTTATTTTCCTTTAAACTTTTTTTTATTTTTTTTCAGATTTAAATATTAAATTTTCTATTTATTTCTTTAAGTCTGATTATTGCTACAAAGACGATTGTAAAAAATTGGACAATATTCCTTCTGACACAGAAAAATCTCCTTTTGATTCAAAAATTCGCAAAATGTTTAGAGAAACGATGGCTTCAATTAAAGGACTTTTGCCTGAACCTTTATGTTATTTTGAAGATACTGGATTGATAATTATTGCTTTTGTGTTGATATCTATTCTTTTGCATCTTACAAATATGTTGTTTTCTAAAAGTGTTGGTAAGTGATTTAAAAATTAATGGATATTTTATTGGGTAAAATGAGATGTTTTTCTTGATTGATGGGAGGTAGTACCCCCCATTTCGTGATAATACTGATGATTATTTTATTCTATTTTTGGCGCTCCTAAAAAACTCGTGGGGTCGCTTTAGTATAGGCCCACCGAGATCGGAACTTGTGGTATATACCATTCGATTCGTCTCGCCGAGCTGAGTTCAAATATGCAAGAATTTTCTGCGGGAGACGAAAACTCGCAGAGATACAGGCCCCCGAAAATTGAAAAACCATAGGGGGGGACCAAGCACTTTTTTGTGGTGAAAAATTCGAATATGCAAATGATAGCTCATTCGAAAGAGCTCCTCGAGCTGAGTCGAATGACACCAAAATCAACAAAATTCGACTTGATTGGACCGAGATATAGGCCCCTAAAAACCGAAGATCCATAGGGGCGATTTTTGGAATAAAAAATTTTTTATACAAATAATACCTCATTCGAAAGAGCTCGACGAGCTGAATCAAATGACACCAAAATCGCCGTGATTGAACAAGATTAGACAAAGTTATGATACAAAAAACAAAAACCTAAACCTATGGGGCGTCGGCGAGGCGCTTGTGCAAAACCCCGCGCTTCGCGCGGGGTTTTGCGGCACGCGCCTCGCGGGGAGTCTACGGGCGCTGGGTCTGGGCTCGTAACATAAACCTATTCCTATCTCCCTTGCTCTGGACGTATTTGGGGCCTCCGTAGCAGCAAAAATCTCCACAGATGCCATAGGTAAGGAGCTAAAAGAAAAGATCATAACTTTGTCCAATCATATCTGATTTCGTTGATTTTGGTGTCATTCGACTCAGCTCGAGGAGCTCTTTCGAATGAGCTATCATTTGCATATTCGAATTTTTCACCCCAAAAAAGTGCTTGGTCCCCCCTATGGTTTTTCAATTTTCGGGGGCCTGTATCTCTGCGAGTTTTCGTCTCCCGCAGAAAATTCTTGCATATTTGAACTCAGCTTGGCGAGACGAATCGAATGGTATATACCACAAGTTCCGATCTCGGTGGGCCTATACTAAAGTACAGCCAAACTCGTTAAGTGTGTCCTATTACATTTTAAATTTGTTTATTATTTTTTTACAAAGGCCCTGACCCATTTGACCACCGCCTCTTGCATGATTGTATTACACGTTTAAAAGAACAAGAAGTAATTATTGAACAAATGAATGCTAATGCTGCAGATAATCAACGTTTGAGAGAAATTGCTAACAATGCTGAACAACTACAAAGAGAAAATAATATTTTGGAGGAAAGGATTCACATTGCTGATGAAGAGTTTGTTTTGAATTAGAAATTATATTTTTTTAATCTTTTAAATTTTAGAATATTAGAATTGAAGAAGGAAAATGGAGAACTTAGAAAATCGTTAATGAGTATTTACCATGAATTGGAACAAAGCAAAAATTCTGTTGGCGAGCTTAAGAAGAGTTTGGACAACAAGGAGGCTTTGCTTAAGGTTTTTTTAAAATTTTTTTTATTAAAATATTTTTTATTTAAAAAACCAAGTTGCCGGGAAGGACTGGGAAATAATTTAAAATTTCCAATATTTTTTGTGGAGCACACTTTAAAATTCTTTTGCCTCGGACCTCTAAAACCATTTTTTATTATCTTTGTTCTAATAATTTAAAAATTCTCTTAAATAATTTTGTTCATAATTTTTAAAGAACACCGAATCAGAACGTCAACGAATTGAAGCAGAACTTGACCAAACACTTTCTAAATTATCCCAAACTCAAAATAGAGAAAAATATTTGGATGAAGATTTAAAAGAAGCGTTAACAAAAATAGATAAATTAAAAATTGAATTGGAAAATTCTTTAAAAGAATTACAAAAATGGCAAAATGAATATACAGAAAAGAAGGCAGAAGTTGATGAATTGTTGGAAATTATTGCTGAATTTAATAATAAAAATATTGAAAAAGAAGGGAAGAAATTTAATAAGAAGAATATTAATAGAGGTTCTAATGATTCAGTTAGCCCTGATTCTCCGCCTGGACAAATGGTTGAATCTGGAGAATTGGTATATATTTTATTAAAATAATTTTTTTGAGAATTTCTTGTTTGTAATTTTAAATGATAGTTTTCGGTTTTTGAGATGCCAAGGATTACACCATAAAAGAATTCCAATTTATACTTTCCCTTTCCTATTCTTACTATTTTTATCTGGGTATATTTACAACTTTATTTACCAGGAGCTAAGGGCATGTTTAAAAATTTCCGACTGCGGCATTGAAAATATAAAAATTTATGTACAAAAATTTTTTCACAATTTTTAATTTTAGGATGTAGATAATGGGGCAGGTTCAGGTGGTAGTGCTGGTTGGTCAGACCTTGGGGATGGAATTGAAATTGCTGGAAATGATTCAGAACCAAAAGTTGGAGAGAAAAGTCCGCCAAAACAAAAGAAGTCTTTAACTAAAGAAGAACAAATTTCTGAAGAGATTGTTGGGGAAGACAATATTGAGGAAAAGAAGAAAGAAAGTGGAGATAAAAATGCTACAAAATTGGTTGATATTTTGGAGATGGCAAAACTTAAAGGGAAGCTTCGTTCTTTGGAGACTGAAAGAGGACAATTAAAGTTTGTGATTTATTTTTTACTGATCTAGTTGAGTTGATAATTGTGGAAAATGGTTATGGAAATTATTTTTGGATTAAATTAAGGGGATTGTGATGTTTCAGTTTTGTCTTTTTTCCAGAGGCATTTCTTGAAATTCAGTATCGTGAAAAATTAAAATCAATTTTACTGATTTTACTATAAGATTTTATGCCAAAAATGACCTACTTTATTTAAAAGAATCCGCTTTCTAATCCTCCTCTTCCACATTTTCTCATTATTTTTTAAGAAAATTAATGACCTTATACTATTTTTTTCAGATTTTCACTTAAAATTGAAAAAGAAGAAAAAGAAAATTTACAAAAAGAATTGGACCGTCTACGACAAGAAATTGTTGAAAAAGAACGTGATTCTGAACAAAGGGAATTGGATAGACATGGACTTACTCAACAATGTTCCAAATTATTACAAATGATTGAAGAAAAAGAGAAAAAAGTAGAATATAGTGAAAATGAACGTGAAAGACTTCGTTCTCGTTTATCAGAAATTGAATTGGAATTGAGAAGAGTTGAGGATGAAAGAAGAGAATTGGTACATAAACATAAAGAATTGGAACAATCTTTGAAGAGAAGTAATGAATTAAATGGAAAATTGGAAAATAAATTGTTTCATGAAGAAAGAAAAATGAATGCAAAAATTAGACAATTGGAAGAGGTTTTCTTAAAAATTTGTTTTGAAATTAATTTTAATTTTTTAGCAATTAATTACAGCAAAATCTTCATTAAGTCCGTTAAATTTAAGTGCTGGTGGAGGTGTTAGTAGCGATTTAAATATGAGTGGAAATTCTTCTGATCGTGATTTTATTCCTTTAAATGGACCTGAGGGAGGAGATGAGGGCGGCGGTCATGTTGAGCGAAGTATGGTACCAAGCCTGTGGTCTGAAATTGAGGCTTCGGAGCCTGTTGATGAGTTAGTTCTTTTAAGATTAACACAATCAAATTTCATTATACCATTGTGATTGATGTAATTATCTTATAATGAGGTGTTTTTTATATGGGGGGGGGGAGGGGATTTAGGTGTCTCCCTCTGCCAGGTAGTCAATTAAGTTTAAAAATGTTCAAAATTGAGTATTGTGTATATCTTATAGTCAAGTCTGATTTATTTTAGCCTTATTTGACATCAAAAAGTTTTTTTCTTTCAGATTAGTCAACCTCGAACGAAAGGCCAGCATGCGCCGACGTAGAAGTGCTGCTCGAGAATCTCCCTTCCTAGGAGATATTGTTCACATATCAAGCTCTGGACGTGAAGAACGTTTCAATACTTCAAAATATTCTTCTGTTTCTTCTACAGCCGTTCCACGTCAAAGAATGCGTTCTCGTTCAGCTGGAAGGCAATCTGCTCGTCTTACTGGTGTTTCAGCGACAAATCCTCTCTACAATACTACAAGTTCAATTGGTGCTTCAACAACTTCTTTAAACCGTCAAAGAGCTTCTGTTTTACCGACAGGGAAGAGTTCTCCATACAGAAATATGATTGAAAGACCAGCTTCTACACGCCCTCGAAATAATTTGTATACGACTACATCTGCTGGAGCAATGTCAGGAGGAGCTTATTCTTCAGATTCTAATGGTGCTTCAAGTCCTCCTCCAGAGGTAGATTTTAAACGATTTATATATTTTATTTGGGTTATAATTAAGTCTCATCTTGAAATTTTGAGAAAACTTGATATTAATTTAACTTTGAAGGGAAATTTGTTGGAGCAAGAGTTGTTTCCGATCCCTAAAATTTAATACTTATTTTTTATTAAATTTATAAATTATTTTTAAGATGCCTCTTCTTTCTGGCGTTCCTCCACCTGGCTTAAACAAAAGACCTGCTATTATTTTACCACAAAGGATGCAAGTACATTTACACAAACCTGCGAATATTTTACCTAAATAATTAAAATGAGTGGAAAAATATTTTCTTAAGAAATTAAAGTTTAATTAGATTTAAGATTAAGGCTAAATCCATTCGATGGGATTTTAAGTTAAACTAGCTTATTTTTCAAAATCAAGTTTCTTTTAAAAGTATTTCTACTCACATATAAGATCGAAAGTTATTGTTGTGTATTTTTTATTTTATTTTTGTTTTTTTTTGTAATTTTAACTGATTATATAATCTTGGGTAAAATTAGTTTATATTTTTGAAACAAAATTAAGGGAAAAATAATAAGGCAGTAAGGTGAATAAAAATCTTTAATATCTAGGCACAAGTATATCCTCCTTCCCATCGTTGTTGTGGTTGTCGTTCACAAACATCAAAAGTTAATCGAATACAAGCAAATTCATTTTCTATAAAAATTTTTTTAAATTAATTTCATTCCCAAAAATTCAAAAAATTGCCATAAAGTAGCCAGGGCAAATAATCATTTTTATGCCAAATATTCTTTTGCTGTTCAATATACCAATTTTTAACTTGATCAAAAGGGATATTACTGTCCACATTTATTTTCTGTTCAAATTCTCGAAGAGAATTTCTTTCAATTTGTGCTTCTTTTATTGCCTTTTTTCGTTCAATTTCGGGTGTAGCATTGAATGCAAGGCGGATTTTTGTCTTTGAGAATTTTTTTACGAATTTTTTATTAATAAAATATTTTAATAAAACTAACCACAATTGTTCCCTATATTTAAATTTAGAAATTAGATATTTAAATTTATATATATATATTTTTACATATCCAACTTGTTGGAGTGCGGACATTGCTATTTTTATTCCACTTTGGTCATCTTCTGTTTCAGAAAGTATATCTAATTGACAATCTCTGAAATAAGAATAATTTTAAAAATTTAACTAGGCGTCTTAGGAGTAGAGTTAAGCGGTATCGGGATTTAGAGAAAAACCCGGGATCGGGATTTTGGAATGGTGGTCCCGATCCCGATCCCGGATCCCGACACGGGATCGGGATTAGCCGAAATCGGGATCGGGATTTGGAATGGAGATCCCGATCTCGATCCCGATCCCGAATCGGGACCGGGATTGAAAAATCGGGATCGGGATTTACTAAAAAAATTTAAAAACTTTTATATTTTTATTTTCTTCACATATGACTCAATATAATTCTAAAATTTCCACTGCGGTGCTGAAATAGTGAGTTAAGTTTCATAGACGCATGATTTACTTTCCGGTTCAGGGGATTAAGGGAGGATAAGGTAATGGGGGGGGGGGTATGGAATACATGGGATTGGGCTTCTTCCATTTTAAGCGCCGCAGGCAAAAATTTTGAAAAATTTGGAAGGCCAAGGTGCCAGATTTCCTGCCTTTTAAGCGCCGAAGGCGATATTTTTTTATTTTGGTAGGCCAAGGCCTTCCAAAATTTTATTTTGGAAGGCCCTCAATCACTGAGATTGAGGGATTAAGTGATATATTCATGTAGTAATATCTCTTAAGCCCTCGATTTCTCCTCAAATCTAACTTAATCACTGTAAATTCACCGATATCCTTCTATATCCAAATCCACCAATACTCCCCTTAACCCCTCTTGATCGCTCGTTATCACACCAAATCGCTCAATATTTCGTTAAAGTTTCAAAGACAGTGATTAAGACATCTCTATAATGCTTTAGTCACTCCCTTTTCTGCGCCGCAGGCGAAAATTTTGAGAATTTTGAATGTAAAGAAGCCAAATTTCTTCCTTTTTCTGCGCCGCAGGCGAGAATTTTTCTTACTTACACGCCTCCCCTCTTCTGTTAACTTTATTTCACAGACTTCTAGTCAATTTATAAAGTCGGGATTTGCTTCGGGATCTGATGCACATCCCGATCCCGATCCCGGATCCCGGCTCGGGATTGAGATTGGCCGGGATCGGGATCGGGATATACATTTCGGGAGCGGGATCAGAAAAATCGGGATCGGGATTTGAAAAACCCGGGATAATCCCGCCCGATCCCGACCGGGATCCCAATCCCGCACAACTCTACTCCTAAGTAGGGTTGAGCGGGATCGGGATCCCGACGTAATATCAGGATAGGGATTTAAAAAACCGGGATAATCCCGCCCGCTCCCGCCCAACTCTACCTAGGAGAGATGGCCAATTATTGGAATAAACGTTATTTGCCTACTTTGGGTATACCTTAAGGAATATGGTGTTTTCGATGTTCTCAGAAATGAAATTTTCGACCAGTATTAAAAAGGAAATCGAACATTCTTTAAATTGTCCAAAAGTTGGGGATTCAGCTCTATTATCGGGTGAATCGAATGTTCGATTAATATTTTTTTGAATATTTCGTTTTCGAATTTTGACCGATTTTTTTTTGTAAAATCGAATATTTCCGAATTCTACTTTTTCATTTTCATGATCTCTATTTAATTCATAAAAATTCCTCTTTTCCCAATTATATTAAATTTATTATTTACCCATCATTGTCTAACCACTGCCAATCATTAAAACAAAATTGTTTTCTAAAAGTATATAATCCTGGTTCTGACGGGCATTTTATACTGTAAAATTTAAAAATATTTTCTACAGTATTCTAAGAAACCCTTTAAGTTGTTGAGCAATATTAGAAGGTAATAATTCATTTTCCTCTTCCCTTTCATTTTGTTTATCCACTTTTTTTAAACTTTCACAAATATCACAGTAATAACTAAAAATTGAATGGATGTGGATGAGGGAAAGGAAAGAATAAAGTACCAATTATTCCCAAAACCTCCACATCCATTGGAACTTGAATTTTGACATTTTGCTTTGCTTTAAATTTTTTAAGTAAAATAAATTGGAAGGGAAAAATTTACTCAGAACCGCGTACATTAAGCCATTGATATTCTGTTTTGGCAAATATTGAATTGGGGAGGCCTTAAAATTTGAAAAAGATTTTTTATTAAATTTAGAAAAATGTTGAGTTTGAGTTTTTAGAATTTAAGGGGATTCAATGGTATTGACTTTTATAAAAAGAGCATGCTTTCCAAATCACAAAAAGGGCAATATTTTTAAAATACATAATCAAAATTTTGAATAAAAGGGGCAATGTAGAAAAAGGGGAGAAAATGGAGTGAGAAGGTTAAAAAGAGGAAGAAGCCCCAAAATGCGGTAAAAGGATCCCCTGAAGAAGATTTTACTTGAAATTTTTTTGAGATTTTTTAAATTTTAATTCTTAACCATTGTCATCCACAATATGTATATTTCTAATTTCAACAGTAAAACAGCCAGGAAATTTAATTATTGAAGGTCTAATCTTTACCTTTAAAAATTTTATTTTTTTCTTGAATAAATTTATTTTTTTTAATATTTAAATGCCTGTCTAGCATCCATTTCAACTAATCTTTTTGAATTTGGTCTGGCTAAAAATTTAAAAAAATTTTTTTCATTTTGGAAGCAATTTTTACTGCAAGAGGCATCTGCCTTTCCAGGTATTAGCCACAAATCTGGAAGGAAAATTTAAAAATTTTTTTTTGCAATTTTTGGCATTATGTAATTTTCAGAAAAATTTTTTTCAAAATTAACCCTGATAATTGCAATTTTGTTTTCTCCTTTTATTATTAATATTTTTATTGTTGGACATAAATTGTTGACAAATTGAATCTTTAAAAGGAAATTGAGGGGAGGATAGGAAATTTTAAAAATTAATTTGGTTACCACCGGGAAATTGTTCACAAAAAATTGTCGAGGCAGAAAATTCATAAGAGAAGGGAATAATTAATAAAATAAAAATATTAAAAAATAAATTTAAAGACAATAAAATATTAAAAATAAAAATCATTTTTTAAGTAAATCTTCTTTAAAAAATAAAAAAAAATAATTAAATTTTTGAAATCGGAAGGAAAAAACGTCGGAAATCGGAATTTCGACCCACCTCTGGCTCCAACAACCAGCTTGAGCTAAAAGATTTTAAAAAGGTCGAAGCTAGAGCCACAAAACGTTTATTTACGACTTTGTGAATGTTAATAACTGAATTTTAGACAAAAATGGGGGTTTTTAAAATAGGTATAATTTCGGAATACTAAACAGAACGCAAATGGGTCAAACTATATGTCATTCGAAAGAGCTCGTCGAGTTGAGTCGAATGGTGAAAAAATTTTCGTGCGGACTCATACAGGGGCTGAGATATAGGCCCCCGAAAATCGAAAAACCATAGGTTTTTCGAAACCCCGCGCTTCGCGCGGGGTTTTGCACAAGCGCCTCGCCGACGCCCCATAGGTTTAGGTTTTAGTTTTTCTATCGTAACTTTGTCCAAACTTGTCCAATCACGATGATTTTGGTGTTACTCGATTCAGCTCGAGGAGCTCTTTCGAATGAGCTATAATTTGCATATTCGAATTTTTTACCCCAAAAAAGTGCTTGGTCCCCCTATGGTTTTTCGATTTTCGAGGGCCTATATCTCAGCCCCTTTATGAGTCCGCACGAAAATTTTTTTACCATTCGACTCAACTCGACGAGCTCTTTCGAATGACATATAGTTTGACCAATTTGCGTTCTGTTTAGTATTCCGAAATTTTTCCTTAAAATATGATATTAAAAAAGAATCTCCAAATTAGTAAAAAAAATAAAAAGTGGTTACATAATTCGTAGAAAATAGTTAAAATCAAATAAAAATAAAAAGCCTTTATAAACTTTCCTTTTTTCATCAAATTTTATATTCAAATAAATATTCATTCAAGCATTGTAAATAAAATAGAATTATTTAAATTTAAAAAAAGTATCGAAAATAAAGCTTTTTATAAAAAGAGGGAAGCTTTATTTTATTGAAAAATTTTTGGTGAAAAAGACAAAAAAATAGTAAAAATTGTAGACAAAAATGAAAAAAAGTGAAAAATAAAAATTTGAATTGCCCTCAATTATTTAAATAAAAACAGGAAATTTGAAAAGAAAAAAAAGGAAAATGCGCGATATTTTGCATTAAAAAAATAAATAAATTGAACAGTGTTCAATTTATTGAAAAAAACATAAAAGAGACATTTTCTAAAAAATTTGAGGAATTTGGAAATTAAAAGATAAATGGGTAAATTGACTAAATCTAGGTAGGTAAATTAATAAAAAATATGAGAAGTTTGGAAACATGTAAAGAATGGAGTGACTTTCCATGAAGCGAATTTTAACTTCTTGTTGTTACTTTAGTGTAATGTTGTATCCCAACTTTGTTCGATTTTTTGAGAATTTTAGTTTTATTCGGAAAAGTTTTTTAGACTTTAACCACCTAATTTTATCAAATCAGCTGGGTAATAACGACAAAGAAATCAGAGATAATAAAAATGTACTATAACTGCCGGATGTATAAAGATATTCAGCATATCATAGACAGGAAGACTTTGTTTTAGTAATTAATCCTATTTTTGTCTCTTTATCCAAAAATTCAAATTCCTTATACATTTTAAGAAAGCTATAGCTAATCCATAGATTTAACTAGTTTTGTCTGATTTTATCAATCAATTTATATCCTAAGAAAAAAGACAATTTTTAACAAAAAATGTACTCCTTTCAAAATTTAGAAAATCCGTATGAAAGGGTCAAAAGTTATAATTCCTCTCATAAAAGAGAGAATTTTTCTCTCTGACCATTTTTACTTTTCTCGCGTCTGACCATTTTATAATTTTCCTCGTTATTGACCATTTCTCTTGTTTCTCTTTTTGCTTTCCGCGCCTTTAAAGTGTTTGAATTAGGCTTACTTTTTTAAATTTTCTCTTAATTAATTTTCTGATTTTTATTATTTTGATTAACCTTAATTGACCTTAATTAACTATACAAATTTCAGGTTAATTTACAAGCTACAATGTCAACATTACCAAAATTAGTGCCAAATTCATTATATTCATTTTCCAATCTCCACATTTCATCGAATGCTCCTTTCTCTGCACCGCCTGTTGAAAACAGCAATAAAAAACAAGAGACAGATCGTATTTTCTTTGGGGAAAGTTTCAACGGTTTTAAATTTAATTTTTTAAAAATCAAAGAATTTTCAGAAACGCAGCCTTATTTCTCAAACAACAATTCTCCGATTGGAAGTGTTAGTGACTTTAGCAATTTGATGAATCTTCGGTCTTTCCCACCTTTGTCTTCTGAATTGCCTCCGCCACTTTCTGCTCCACCTTTTCATTCTTGCACTAATGGTGGGGGTTTTGCTGGAATTCGTGGTGGGGGAAGTGCTGGTTGTAGCAGTGGAAATAGTGGAATGGTTCAGGGTGGTGGGACTGGAACTCGCTTCCGTTTTACTAATCGCCCAACTTCTCAGCCGGTCTATTTTTCTTTGAAAGTTTTTCTTGGTGGGATTCAGGCGTCGTTGACTACAAGTTTGTTTTTTATTCATTAATACGAGTCATTTTGGAATATTGACTTATCTTGTGTCATTAGAAAGGGTTTTGGATAGCGTTGACGTCGAAATTAGCGTCACACGGCTGAATATTGCTTTAAGGAGAGGTCAAACTCATTTTTGTGGTAACCCCCTCCCCTTGAAATGGGGAAAAGGGACAAATTTGAGGAGGGAACCCCTCCCCCCCCCCCCAGAAAAATGATGTAATTTTTCAATATTCCGGAGTGGCCTGTATTCTTGATTTTTACTACTTTCTAAATCGATTAAATTTAAAAAAACAAAGTCCCATATCCATTTCATTTTATGCAATTTTCCTCAATCCTCGCTGATGTTTTTATTAACATTGAATATTTTTTTAGATGTTCTCCAACTTAACTTTGCCAAATTTGGTTCAAATTTTATTGACTGGCCGAAGAAGACTACAATTCAGGATCGTCCTCCAAATGGTTATTTCTTAATTTTTATTTAAAATTTAATAAATTAAAGGTTATGCATTTGTTGTCTTCGAAAATGAGCATTCCATCATTCACATGCTTCGACATTGCCAACAGTCAAACAACCGAATTTTCTTTCCAGTTTACACGTTGAATGGTTTGATGCATCCGGTTAAGAATTTTTAAAGATTTTTTAAAATAAAAAAAATTTATTTTAAGGTTGAGATCAAGGTTTGGCAAATGAATGACACCACGTATGCTGCCCAGCCTGATTGGCGCAAATTACGTCGTTTTTCTGTTTTTGTTGGAGGAATTCCTAGAACTTGTACTGCAGGTTTGGTTTTAAATTTAATAATTTTGGAAAAATAACTTTTTTAAGCTACGCTCGCTTATGCAATTGAAGATGTTATTGGGCCTGTTGCTTACTGTGCAATTGAACTTGACCCGAATCATTTCTATCCTAAAGGGGCTGCCTGCGTAGTTTTCAGCACAAAAGAATCGTATATTAAGGCGATAGCTGCACACGAAGTTATTCTTTCATTTGGCTCTTTTGAACGAAAGGTTTTTATTTTTAAATTATTTATGGTAGGGCATAGCAGAGACGGAAAAATTTTGGAGGAAGGAGCAATAGAAAATATGTGAGAAAAGTTGTTAGGAAATCCGCAAGGTACTTTTCTGTTTGTTAAATTCATTCACTTATCCGCATTTTTTCAGTCATCTTTTCGATTTTACGGAGGAGGGTCTGTCTATAAGCCTTAACCCGTAGTTATGTGCTTCTATTACCAACTAAAATATTGTTTAACACCCCGAATTCAAACATTTTTTGGTTTATATTCTCTTCCCTGTCTTGGAATAATTTTTTTCGATTTTTACAACTGCTATATTTATTATTTTCAGGTCGAATTGAAAGCGTTTCTTGCATCAAATATGCCTTGTGAAAAGTGTGGAATTACTAATGGGACTCGTTTTTGCAATGAAATCATTTGCCTCGCTTATTACTGTGTCAATTGCTGGAAAATGGTTCATGTTCGTCCTTCGATGAGTAGCCACACCCCGTCAAAACGTCACGTTAAAGGAGGAGGAAGTGGAGAAAGCCCAACACAATCATAAATTTGAAATTGAGGTTTTTTTGTTTTTGCCAACTATTACATATATTTTAATACTTTCATCCCTCTCTCTCTCCCTAATTTCAATACTACTAAAATCAAAAATTTTTGAATTTAAGATGATTTTTATGTCCAAAAATTTTCCTGCCTTTCCAAAAAATATTTTTAATTTTTCCGCTCTTTCTGCTCTCTTCCAGTATCTTTAAACCAAACACTTGCCGCAAACATTTTATTTAAAATATTCTCTATTTTGATATTATTTTTAAATTAATTTGCCGATTTATTTTGAAATTTTGCATTTTATTTGTTATTAAAAATAAATATGAAATTGAATTGATTAAATATAGATACTTTTTTAATTTTTATTTAATGATCTTTTAAGGACACCGCTGTTTTTAGTGAGGAAAACTTCCAAATTTAGATTAAATTATTTTTGCCCGTGATAATTTCATGATTTAAGAATGAGGTATGTTGCTAAAAAATGACTTCATGAATATAGAAATGTATTTTCAAAACGAGTTGTTTTTTGAGGATCCCCCCCCCCTAATCGGATACCGAGAATCAGCCAAACCTACTCCAAACGGTGAGCAGTAGACTGAGCGCTAACATACCTATTCGATATTTTTAAATATTTTTGGATTTATTTCGATTTTGGATTCTTTAGTCTCTAAACAGCTCTGGACAGAATTGAGGTGTTAAAACAAATTTGTTTGCGTGTAAAAATATACACGATTAAGGAATCTTTTGTAAAATTCAAATTTAAAAAAAATTAAAATCTTTTTATCAAATTTATTTTAACAAATTTGTTCTATCCAACAATAATACTTCCTTTTTTATATTTACAAGAGCTAAGTTTACATTCGTCCTGAGGAAGGCATTGACCCTCTGGTTTCATCTGAGCTGATCCAGTAGTTCCATTATATTCTTGACAGCCAAAAGATATTGTTGGGGGATTGGGGTCTATATGGATATTATTTATTTCCATTGTATCTCCATAATTGTAATTTAATGCTGGAAAGAAACAAAATTTAAATTGAAAATTAATTTTATTTTTTCAATAAGTATTTCTAAGTTAAAGATTTTTTGGGTTTTCTTTTCATCTTTCCCTTGGCAAATTTCATTCATCTGACCTTCTAAACTAAAACCTAAGATCCCTAAAAACATAAAATTGTGTTAAATATTATAGTGAGGGTAATTATTCGAGTGAAGATAATAACCTTCACTCGAATAATTACCCTCACGTTTCAAATTTTGCTGGAGGGAGGGGGAAGGTAATTAATGCAGTATATACGTTAATCTACTTAAATAATAATATCTAAGACTACCGTATTTTCTCGATTAATTTCCAAGGGCAATTATTGTTTCAACCCATCCGTGGTATGGGGAATTACTCGAGTGTAGGGAATTAATCGAGAAAATACTAGGGTTAATTACCCCATTATTTAATTAAAATTATTCACTTACAAATTAATGATAGACCAGGCCCTTTAAATTTAGAATTTGCCATTTTAATACTTCGAGGGTGTTGACTGCATAATTCCCCACAAGAGCGATAAACTTTGCTGAAATTTTGAGCACAGAAATTTTGAATAATTGTTGTGCCTGCCCCAGCTTGGGTAAAAACCTTTAAGAATATTTTTTTAGATTTTATAAAAAATTCTACTTTATCAACAGCATTCAGTACCGCTCCCCCAATTACTTGATATAATTTAGGGGTACCGTCCAAACTATTTCCAAAGTCAACGGCATGGTAGCAAGTCCTTTTAAAGCTGAAATTAAAAATGTAAAAAAATTAAATCTATCTAATAAAATTCATTTATAGTTTGTTTCAGCTAACTTAATGCCCAAAAGGAAATATAGTTTCCATGGGTGGTTTTTAGTACTCTAAAGCAGAAAATTACTAAAGAAGGCAAGCCCTATTCAATAGCAAAGTCCTATAAGGATTATTCACCTAGAGAATTTAAATCGCTTAGGCGGGGGTTAAACGATCTAAAAGGATAAAAGAGAGCATTAGTGGTAGAGCTTCTGTATATGGTGAGCGAAATAACCACAAGGAGGTCGCAGATTCGAATCCTCCTCGGTGGCTAAACTTTTGTTAAACTCTGTCCAATTAACAAGGTATCCCTTTTTGCTACACCAATTTATTACTTGACCGTCAAAACCATTTTTTAATTTTTTGTTTATTAAAAAAACTCACAAAACATTAGTTAATGTACACCTTCCTTTACACCAAACCCCCTTTGCCGGGACATCAATAATTAAATTACTTATAGAACCTCCATCCTCTATTTCAATAATATTCTTTCCCTTTACAGAACCTTTAATATCACAACTTGTATACATACTCGGGTCTGCAGTAATTAAGGCATTTTTAAAGTCTGTATGGCCCGTTATTGGTCTGAAAATATAATTTAAATAATTTAAAAAGGATATTTACTAAATAAATTTCTGCAAAAATTAATTTTAAGCAACTAATCTTTTTTGTATTTAATTTATTTTTAGAAATATATATTTCTGCAATTTTACATATATATTTTTTTGTAAATAATAAAATATTATATTTATTTATTTTATTGATTTAAAAAAATATTTTTTATTTAAATTTAACAGAAAATTTCCAAAAATTTTTTTGGAAATTTATCAGAAATTTAGAGTTTTACTAACTCCTAATTACTATTTGTTAATTTAATTTTAAACGTATTTCCCCTGTTTTCTAGTTAATATTAACAAATTAAAGAGAGCTGAATTTTTTTTTGTCAAGAAAGGTTTATTCCGAAAATGTTTTTATTTAACCTTTAAATATTTTCTTCAATTTTCTGACTATTTTTGAATCAAGAATTTTGAAATTTACAGTATTTACTCAAATCTTTAGACCGGTTAATTACATATTTGTTTCAACCTCTGGTTGGCGGGGAGGATATTTAATAGGAGGGGGGGGTAATTATTTAAATTTGATTAATTCAAGTGATTATGTATTTGAATAAATTTTTTAGCTCCTCAATTAATCCAGAAATCTTTAGGGAACAGGCAGTTTTCACTACAAAACAGCCTTTTACTTAAATAATTTTTAAAATTAACTCCAATTAAAACTCTAATTTAATTTTTAGATTATTAAAAAATTAATTTAAATAAATTTATACATTGGTACTTTAATTGGAGGTGTTGAAGTGTCTTTAATAGAAGGAAAAGGGCAAAATTGAGTTAAATTGGAATTAAATAAATTAAATAAATAAAATAATATTTTTGGGGAAATTAATAAAAATTTGAAGAAAAATGGGAAAAAATATTTAATTTTAATAATTAACATTTTTTTGTGAATAATATAATAATTTTTGAGAGAGAAAATAATTTTTTTTATTTTTTATTAATTAAATTATAAAGAGTAAAAACTATAAAATATTATAATTATTTTCCCTTTTTTATAAAATAATGAGAAATATAAAAAAATTATTAAAAAAAGTATACAATTCTTTATTGTTTGTGTCAACGTGGTTCTACTAGTATAGCTAGAAAAAAATTTTTTTTTAATATTTTTGGCTATTAAAATAAATAATTTTAAATTTTTTGGTACAATTTAATACTTTTAAATTAAAATTAACCAAACTAGGGAGTAAAATTATTAATAATCTTTTTTTATTAAAATATTGTTTATTTAAAAAGTTGATCACAAATATAACAAAAATATTTGGGCATCCTGCCAACCAGAGATAGGTCGGAACAGTCAGAGGTATCGGAAATTGGAAGAGCTAGAAATCGGAACTGATTCAAAAGTCGGAAGTCGGAATTTCGACCCGCCTCTGCTGCCAACCAGACTCCCGAAAACTGGCTTCTTTCGAATGTTTCTACTAAATTTAGATAACGAAAAAAAAACCTTTTCTTCGTCCTCTGCTTTTATAAAAATGCAATTTTATTTTGCGGATTTTTCCCGAAATGATTAGAAAAATAGGAGTAAGTACAGGAGAAATTTTATCAGATAACTTGAACTGTCAAAGCACTAATTGTAAGTAACGGAGGTTTTTCGTAATGGAAAACGTTAAAAAAAGTGAGAGAAATATTATAATTACAATCGAATCTTTCTGATATATCATCCCTCCAATGTCACTTTCCTTCATATGTTCAGAGGGTTTCTAAATTTAGGTTCTAAAGGGGTGATCTATTAGAAAGATCAGATTTATTCATTTAACAATAATACTTCCTTTTTTGTATTTACACGATCTTAGTCTGCATTCATTTTGAGGCAAACATTGACCTTCAGGCTTCAAAGTTGACCTTCCTCTTGTCCCGTTATATTCTTGACAACCAAAAAATATTCTTGGATAAGTTAATTGGATATTATTTATATACATTGTATCTCCATAATTGTAATTTAATGCTGAAAAAAATTTTTTTAAAGAAATTAGGGAAATTTTCAACAATTTTCTGTATTTCTTTTTATTTCCCACATTTTTGTTATGTAGCGTCAATTAAGTAAGCGCAGGCCGGATAGTCGGGGTTATTAGTTCCCAACCATCCGCCTGGTATTCGGAGCGCCGTTAGAGAGGGTGGGGGAGACAAGAGGACGAGAATCAAGTCGGGGGAGGCGCAGGGGATTTAATTAATTAATTTAATTGAAATAGAATAGATTTACTAAAACATTTATCTTATATTTCAAATATACAGATTAAATGAGTTTTTGGTTCAGCATAAATATTGGAATAATGGAAATAGTAATATAACAGGGACTAGGATAACATTGGGACATAGACACTTTATAGGACCGAACACATCTGAACTCAAAACTGTCATTTGTTGTTTAATCCTTTGGTTAAATAGTGGGGAAAGTGGGAGGAGGAATTGGAAAATACAAATTGAATGTTTGGGAAAGTTGGGAAGTAATAATTGTGGTAATGTTGGGAAAAGGGATAAAAGGTTGTTTACATTATTGGGAATGTTCGGGAAGGATAAGGGAGTAATGGGAACGGAAATTAATAAATGTAAAAATTGAAGATAGGAGGGGAAGATAGGTGATGGGAAAGGAAAGAATTAAATTACAATTAATAAGGTGAAGATGGGATGGGAAAGAATAGGTGTAATAAATATAAATTAAATGTGAAATAAAGTCGGGGTCGGGACTTGGATAAATTTATAAGTATCGAGTCTCGAGTCCGGGGCTTACATCTCCCTACCGCCAATAAGCGCGACCCTGCGCTTACGTGCGTGGTGTGGTTGGATTTTTGGGTGAGAATATGGGGAAAAGGGGGGATAGGAAGGGGTGAGGGGGATGGGAAAGAGAACGGGAGGTTTACAAATGGTGACTCAAACTTAATTGGTCCCCGTTTGTGTAAAGTTTAGGACATAGCGCATTACTCGATCAAATGGTTACCAATTTTTTTTTGGGCCATCTGAAGGACCTTACTCACAGGGGTTGGGTGAGGGTTAATTAGTGGTTGTGGAGGAGGGTTGAATGGGGGAGAGTGTTGAAGTGGGGGAGGGTAGAAGGGGGGATAGTGTAGAAGGGGAGAAGTTGGTAGAAGATAAGGGTTGAAGGGGGAAGAGGTTTGAAAAGTTGTTATAGTTTTTAGTCTCTAACTACTTTTCATTTAATTAATTTTAGTTTTTGTTTAAGTAAAGGGAATTGGGTTCCTCATGATTTACTTTTGTGGAAGTGATTCGTGAGGTTTTGTAGTGAATGGTTATTAATCGGATGTTGAACATGGTTTTAAGCTGTTTTCCTTTGTAATGATAGACTCGATACTTAAATATAAGGGGAGCGAAAAGGAAAATTAGAACCAATTAAATATAAAATATAGATGAAGGGAAGGAAAAGAAAAATCCGGAATTAAATATTTTGAGGTGGAAATAACTATAGGGGGAAAGGAAAAAAAATTTGAAAATTACAAATTTGGAAGAAAAGAAAATATGATTGAATTTGTTTTTGTTCATCCGGTTTCATTCTTCGGTCAAAATCATTTTGTGTTAGAGCAATTTCGAGTTCAGCTTGAATTTGTAAGCAGTTGTGTGTTCAGGGAAGCATATTGTGTTGAGAAAGCAATGGCATATTGTCGTTGAGAAGGGATTGAGAAAGGCATGTTCTGTTGAGGAGGCATATTGTGTTGAGTAAGCATATTGTGTTGGGAATGGATTCGAGTTCAGACTGAATTTTGTATAATTAGTTTTGGAGTGAGGGGTTATTTTATTATTAGAATAATTAACTTATAACATGTTGATTGAACTTAGTGAAATACCTCAAGGATTTCAACTTAGTGCATGGGAATTGATAAGGGAATTAGGAGATTGATTGTGTATCCAAAATTATTGAAAAGTTGTCCTAGGGATCTTTAATAATTTAAAGAATTTTTTTTTAGTTACCGAAATAAATTTGAAAGGGGTTTTTTTAGGATTGAAGGGGGTTGAAAGTGGGGTTTAATGGCAGTTCTAATTTCTTTGGGATGGTAATTTCATATTGCTTCCCTAAAGGCTTTTTATGGAATATAACTGGTCCTTGAGGTTTTTTTTTTAAATTGGATTAAAGGAGTTTGGGATTTCCTAAGTAGTTTTTAAATAGTTTTTGCCCAGGGATAGGTAAGTCAGTTTTAGATTCCCTCAAGGCCTTTTATGGTATATAACTGGTCCTTGAGGTTTTTGGACTAAATGGGATTGGCATCTCTAAGTGTTAACTGATGATGGGATTGAGGGAAAATTCTTTCGAAATTCTTTTCCTCAAGGTCTTTTACATAATAACAGGTCTGAGAGGTTTCCTTAAAATTGGATTAAGGGGATGGGATTTTTAAGTTTCATTGAATGATGGAGCTAATTATCAATTCTAACTTCCCAGGGGTAAATAAGGATATTTTCCCTCAAGGCCTTTTATGTGATAACATTATGGTCCTTGAGGTTTTGTTACAGTTAATTAGGAGAGGAAAAAGGTATGGGATTTGTTTTGGTAAACTTATCACGTCCATGTTCTTTAAGAATAAGTTGAGTTGCTTGAGTTCATGGTTTTCTAATGACATGTGGAGGAGTCAATGTAATAGTTGGATTAATTATTGTTGAATTTGTAGTTAATAATTGGAGTAGAAAATATAATATTAAGATTAATTTGAGAAATGCGCGTAAAAAATAGAAGTGAGAGAACGGGGGAGGGGTCAATTAGTGGGGATGGAGGAGGGTTGAAGGGGGAAGTAGTGTAGAGGGGGGATAGTGTAGAAGGGGGGATAGTGTAGAAGGGGGATGGTGTAGGAGTTAAAGGGGGGAAGAGTGTTGGAAGGATTCTTAGAGAATTTATGGGAAGATTTGGAGGTTGTGTTTTACTCATTCTAGATTAGATTAATTCATATTTAATAATAAATTAATTCTAATGGATTTCTTTACAATTGGGTTCAAAAATTGTTTGTCTGACTTGGGTTGTTTAAAAATTTAGTAGTGAGGAGTGGGGGTTTTGAAATGTCCAAATTATTAATTCTCAGTTAGATTAATTATATAAATTTAATTATAAATTAATTCTAATGGATTTCTTTACAACTGGATTAAAATTTATTGGTTTTTCTGATATGGGAGTTTTGGGAAGGGGGGTTAATTGTTTCCTAATTAGCTTAATTATGATTAATTTCAAATTAATTATAATGGATTTCTTTACTTGAAGAGAGGGGGAGAGATTGTAAGGATAAGCGCTTGGAATAAAATGTAAAAAATTTAAGTCGGAAAAAGGAGGGAAAAATATTTCAAAAATATTCATCGATTAAAAATTTCCCAGGATAGTTGATAGATTATATTAAAGGATTTTATTAAAGGATTTATGTATTTTGTCATTGGAAAAAATTAAAACGGAAAAAATTGGATTATTATCGGAAACTGGAAAAAATTTTAAAAATTTTAAAAATAGGGAAGAATTGTGTTCTCGTTGGAAAAAATTTAAAATATTGAATTCTCATTGGAAAAACCTTTTTTAATGGAAAAATGTAAAAATCGGAAAAAATGATCTCATTGGAAAAAAAACTTTTTTTTAATGGAAAAAATGTAAAAATCGGAAAAAATGATTCTCATTGGAAAAAACTTTTTTTTAATGGAAAAAATGTAAAAATCGGAAAAAATGATTCTCATTGGAAAAAATTGTAAAAATTGATCTCATTGGAAAATTTGTAAAAATAGGAAAAAATGGATTCTCATTTGAAAAAAATTTAAAACTTGGAAAAAATTTATTGTCATTGGGAAAATTTACTGGGATTTCTTTGAAAATGAGGGAAGTGAAAATGAAAACGGTTAGATTTTAATCTCTCCCTTTTTCTCTCTCTCCTTTTTTAATTCAGAAACTTAATTCTGATTAAAAAATTTTTTAATTTGATTATGGAAGGAATTGTCAAAAATAAGGGGTTACAGTAAAAGAAGGAGGGGAGAAGTGTGGGAGGGATGTGGCTATATTCAAAAATATATTTTTAATTCAGAAACTTAATTCTGATTAAAAAAGATTTTTGATGGTGGGGGGGGGGGGGGGGGGGGGGGAGTGGTAAAAATTGCTAAATAATGTTTGTAATTAAATTTATAATTATTTAAATTTATATTATATAATCTAAAAATATTTACAAGTACAAAGGAATGGGAAGGTGTAGGGGATAGATAGGAAAAAAGAAGCGAAGCTTTTCACTTCCTTCTTTTTATTTAAAAATGCTATGACGGGAAGAAATGTAAGATCGATTGGGGTTGGGAAAGTAAAAAGGGAGCTGCTAATCTTATGGCAAAAGCGACGGGATAAGCGTTACTTTTTGCCGTAAAAAAATGGAAGTGGGAGGGAATGGAATGGAAATAAAAATGGGAATGGGAGCGGGGATAATTTTTAATTTAAATTAAATTAATTCAAAATTAAATATTGAGAAGAGATTGAGGGAAGAAAGAGGAGGGAGAACCTTACTTAAAAAATATAGGGAGAAACTGGAGTGACTAAGACCTAGAGGGAAAACATTAAAAAATTATAGGGGAAGGGCGGGGGTGACCAATACCTAGAGGGCATTTGAACCATCCGGTGCTACCAGTAAGCGCAGGCCGGATAGTCGGGGTTATTAGTTCCCAACCATCCGCCTGGTATTCGGAGCGCCGTTAGAGAGGGTGGGGGAGACAAGAGGACGAGAATCAAGTCGGGGGAGGCGCAGGGGATTTAATTAATTAATTTAATTGAAATAGAATAGATTTACTAAAACATTTATCTTATATTTCAAATATACAGATTAAATGAGTTTTTGGTTCAGCATAAATATTGGAATAATGGAAATAGTAATATAACAGGGACTAGGATAACATTGGGACATAGACACTTTATAGGACCGAACACATCTGAACTCAAAACTGTCATTTGTTGTTTAATCCTTTGGTTAAATAGTGGGGAAAGTGGGAGGAGGAATTGGAAAATACAAATTGAATGTTTGGGAAAGTTGGGAAGTAATAATTGTGGTAATGTTGGGAAAAGGGATAAAAGGTTGTTTACATTATTGGGAATGTTCGGGAAGGATAAGGGAGTAATGGGAACGGAAATTAATAAATGTAAAAATTGAAGATAGGAGGGGAAGATAGGTGATGGGAAAGGAAAGAATTAAATTACAATTAATAAGGTGAAGATGGGATGGGAAAGAATAGGTGTAATAAATATAAATTAAATGTGAAATAAAGTCGGGGTCGGGACTTGGATAAATTTATAAGTATCGAGTCTCGAGTCCGGGGCTTACAATTAAAAATTACATATCCAAATTAATTTCCGAAAAAAATTCGGATATCTACTCATCGCCTCTCCAAATAACAATTTATATTTTTGTGATAAATAAATTTTTTTCCTTTTTTTGATTTTAAAATAGGGATTTGCTAAAATTGGGACCTCTTCCCATTTTGTATTTCGATTGAAAATTTATTGTGATCCCAAGTAAGGTTGAGAAATATAAGCCCATTGAAAAATATAGGCCCAGGCTGCATATTTTTAGGAAACAATGTGAATGTCGGCCTTATAATTTTGTCGGCCAAGAAGCCCGATCCATTTTGCTGTCGCTGGCGAAAATTTGCAGTCGAAACAATACTTCAAAAATTATCGGAATTTGGAAATTTTATAAAAATTTCGGAAATCGGAAGTCAGAAATCGGAATTATGATCGAACTTTGCCTTTAGGGGGTATTCTATAGTGACTATTTAAATTATCCACTTACAAATTAATGATAGACCCGGCCCTTTAAATTTACAATTTGCCATTTTAATACTTCGAGGGTGTTGACTGCATAATTCCCCACAAGAGCGATAAACTTTGCTGAAATTTTGAGCACAGAAATTTTGAATAATTGTTGTGCCTGCCCCAGCTTGGGTAAAAACCTTTAAAAATATTTCTTTAGATTTTATAAAAAATTCTACTTTATCAACAGCATTCAATACCGCTCCCCCAATTACTTGATATAATTTAGGGGTACCGTCCAAACTATTTCCAAAGTCAACGGCATGGTAACAAGTCCTTTTAAAGCTGAAATTTAAAAATATATTATTTCAAAATTCCTAAATAAAAAATCACTAGACAGCTTAGTACCCGAAGCGAATGAAATCCAATTTGCTGTTGGGTTCCTTATAAAATCCGAAGAGAGAAGGAACTTCTTTTTTAACTAAAATTTCCATCTCTGATTATAAATTTTTTAAATAAAATTCTATTATATGTACATAAATCCATTCCCCCAATTATTAAAATAATTAAAAGTCAACAAATTATATTAAAAAAGAAATTAGAATATTTTAAAATATTTTTATCTATCCTCTAATTAAAAAACTCACAAAACATTAGTTAATGTACACCTTCCTTTACACCAAATCCCCTTTGCCGGGACATCAATAATTAAATTACTTATAGAACCTCCATCCTCTATTTCAATAATATTCTTTCCCTTAACAGAACCTTTAATATCACAACTTGTATACATACTCGGGTCTGCAGTAATTAAGGCATTTTTAAAGTCTGTATGGCCCGTTATTGGTCTGAAAAAATAAATTTAAATAATTATAAACGTTGAAAATTACTGAAAATAAAAGTTAATTTATGACGTAAATTTTATTTTTTTTCTAATTTAACATTATTTTTTTTCACAATTTTTAATGAAAAAAATTTTAGCTATAAATTCAACGTTCCTTATGTAAATAAAAAAATAAATATAGATTTTATTTTTGCAAAAATATTTAATTTTTAAATTTGTGTATTTTTATTAATAAATTTTAAAAATTTAAAAACTCTAATAATTATTTCTTAATTTTTATTTAATCAAAAAAATTTTTTTTAATTACAAAGTTTCAAAAAATATTTTTCGAAAAAATTTTAAAAATAAAAAATATTTTCCATTAAAATATTTTTTATTTATTGGATAGCCGTAACGAGATAATAAAAAAATCTGAACTTCCCTAAATTCTCTGCTTTAATCTCAATTGAAGGAATATTAAAATCTAACAACGTTTTACAATTTTTTTTAAAAAACTAAATTAAAAATTAAAAGGTAATTATTTTTCTATCGAGTAAGTATTTCACTCAAATTTTAATACAAATTTAAAAAATTTTTCGTGAAAATAAATTTACGCTCCAACAAAATTCTTTTGAAGGGAAAAGAGGCGCGTATTGTGAATATGAATCCCTGTTTAAAATAAAGTTTCTTATCCGCTGACAAGGAATGTATGCGCAAGCAAGGTTTCGGGCAGACAAAGTTCCAGCAATTAAAAAAATTAATTAAAAAAAATACATTGGTTTTTTGATTGGAGGTGTTGAGGTGTCTTTTGGAGAAGGAAAAGGGCAAAATTGAGTTAAATTAGAATTAAATAAATTAAATAATAATATAAATATTTTAAATTTTAAAATTAAATAATTAATTAAAGAAAAAATAAAAATTAAATTATTTAATAAATTATAGAAGAAATATTTAAATTGAAATGATGACATTTTTATTTAATATTTTTGAGGGTTTCGAGGTATTTTGGAAGGTATTTGGAGGTTAATTGGAAGGTATTTGAGCTTCTTACATTTTTTAGAATTTTTGGGAGTTTTTAAATTTTTATTAGGGTTATTTTAGATATTTTTATTAATTTTCTATTTTTTTGGATTAGAAAAAAATATTTTTTTTTAAAAATTAATTTTAAATTATTCTCTCAATTAATTTTTTAAATTAAAAAATGTGTGGGAATTAATTTAAAAATAAATTTTATTTTTTGCAAAAATTTAAATATGAACCAAAAAATTTTATATACAAGAATGATGTTTGATAAAAAAATAAAAAAAGGCAAACATTTAAAAGAATTATTAGAAAAAAATATTTAATCTAAAAATATTTTTGGTGCAATCAGCACTTAAATGTGGTTTTTAGACTTTCGAAGAAAATTTTTTTGATGATTTTTGATGTTTAATTGTTTGTTTGACAGAATTCTTTGGTTAAAAACAATCAGAAAATTTTTGAAGGTTTTTTGTTTCGTTAAAGTTTGAAACCAAAAACTAAAAGTAATAAACCTATTTAAAGTCGAATTTATTTTTAACACTTTTTAGGAGCAAACATGTAAAGTAATTGAGAGGACAGTAAGCTTTGTAGAGGTATACCCTTAGGGATTATTTTGTTTATTACCCAGACTTTTGAGGATATTGAAAATAATTTTTTCTTAAAAATATTTTTTTATTAAATATTAAAAATTAAACTTAAAAATAAGCTAATTTAAAAACACGCCAAAATTCAGTCAATTTAAAAATTATAACAATTAATCTGTTCCTGCCAAATTTAATTTTTAGGCCATAACTTTACCTCTTTCAATTTAGTTTTGGCATAAATTACCAAAAATCATTTTTGGCGTTTGGTGGGATAATCAACTTAAACCGAAAATCTTTCATAACACTCAAAGAAGCATTATCAACTTTATGTGTTTAAAACCCGTTAAAAATTGATAAAAAATTAATTTTAAAAAATATTTTTCTCTCAAAATTTATTTATTTAGTTGTTTATTTTGAACATAATATAAATAATAAAGCCAATAAAAAGCATTCCAAATAGTAAAAGTTAAAGGAAATAGCCAACGAGATAATCTATCTATTGCCAAACCCTTGCGTGAATATAAAAAGCCTTGACGTAGAAAATGATTTGTTATCTAAAAAATAAAATTTTTTTTTGAAATTTTTTAAATTAAAAAAGTTTTTAATAAAATATAAATTATTTTTAAGTTTAAAATTCTAAAATTTATTTTTCTGATAAAAAAATCCCTCAAAGATTATTAATACTTAAAATTATTTTTAATAAAAATTTTAAGAGTAGAGATGTGATGGATCGAAAATAATTTCACAACACAAGACTAAGACTTCTCCCTGATTCTTTGCTGAAACCGATGCCGAATCATAGCTTAAGATCCCTTAAGACCGAAAAAAAGACCGAAAAATCAAATCGTGTTGATTTCATTATTCTAAAATCCCAATATGTCGGTCAATCCCCAATTTAAATAAAATTAAATACGAATTACCAAAGGATTTGTTTCTATTTTTCCATAATTTTTTGAACAATTTTCTTTTTCCTTTTTAAATTTATTTACAGATGATGGCCTATAAAATTGTTTAAAATGTGCTGCTCGCTAAAAAAATATTTTTTTTAAATTTATTTAAATTCCAATTCTTTTACCATTTTATTATTTCCATTATTTTTAATTTCCCTCTCATTTTTCTTTAAAACCTTCCTTTTATTATTTTTATTATTAATTAAATTATTTTCTTTTGTTGGGGAATCTGTTGTTGGTAACCAAATATTTGGATTTATTTCTCCAAATGTTGCTGCAGAAGACCATTTGACGCCCTCAAAACTTTCGTCCATCTAAAAATTAATTAAAAATAATTGTTAAACATAGCCGATAATATAATTAGATAAAGCCAATTTTGGATATAAGAGCACCAATATCCCGTCCCGTTGGGAGTCATATGCAACGAGATTCGATTAAAATCTTCTGACACCGTTTATACCGATAATTATCGGTTTATACCGACCCGAAACTCGAAAGATCGAGCGAGCCGAGGATTTTCAGCTCGAAAAGCTCGAAAACGAACCGAATCGAAAAAACCAAGCTCGAAAAATATGCACCGAACGTCGGCTCGAACCAAAAACGGCAACCCTACCGATAATGGAATCAATCTTTTATAAAAAAGGGAAGTTCCAACCCAAAGGTTTCCTACTAAAATCACATTGGATATAATGTAGGTAAAGAGAAGAACCATTCCAAACAAATCAAACGGTTCTCTAAAACAGGTCTTCAATAGATTTTCAGACCAAGTTTACTTATATTTTAATTTCAAAAAATAATTACAGAAGCATCTATAGAAGGGAGAAGACTTAATGTATCAGCTCTAGATTTCAGGCTTTCCTTCTCTCCTTCTTCATTTTTTTCACCAAAAGCTTTATTTTTAGAGAATAAAACTGCTGTTTGAGCATTTAATGATGAATCTATTTTAAATTTATTTTAAATAAAATCTCTGACATATCCTAACATTTTTAAATTATCACAGATGGGATCAGAGAGTAGGTAAAATAACGATAAAAATATGTTGGGATAAGTCGGAGAGTTAGATGGGATAAGTAAAAGATTTTTATTTCGAGGAATAATCATTTAAGTCAAACTTAAATTTTAAGTACTCACAAAATTGGGTATCCTCATTTAAAAATACTTTCTATATATGTTGGCAAAAGAGATCGACCCGAGACGAAACTATCGCTTATCGAGAATTTTTCTGAGATACTCCACTCCCAGTCCAATCTCTAAACTATACTCCCCAAGCTAAGAATCTCTCATGTTTCCTGTTTAAGGGAGTAATTAAATCGATGGTTTGAGTGCATTTTAAAAGAAAAATAAAAACTTTTCTTTGCATAATAAGTTGCATATCGTTCAAACTTTTCTGCATGGCGCATATATGAATTTACCTTAAAATAATTTTAAAAGGGATTTTTTTCAATAAAAAACTAACAGCAGCAAATTCCAAAAGGCTCAAAAAGACAAAAAATAAACAAGCTAAATAAATAAATATTTAAATTAATTTTAATTAATTAATTACCTCCAAACCAAAAGTCAATAGCTTTAGCATATGCTACCTGTGGAAGGCCAAAACGGAGGCCATTCCCCTAAAAATTTTTTAAAAAAATATTAAATTGAAAAATTTTGTAATTTTAGAAATTTTTTGTTATAAAAATTAAAAAATTCCCTGAGGCAATTTAATTTAAAACTAGCAAATATCCCCTATTTTTCTTTAAAAATAATTAAGGTTCTAATTAAGAAAAAATTTTTTTGAGTTTCTAATTTAAAAATTTATTTTTCTACCAAAGTAGATAATGAAAGTAGAGTGGTAAATGAAAGAGTAACACGTGCCGGGACTGCTCTAAATTAATAATTAAATTTTTTTAATTTTAAAAAATTGCCTTCTGTCAATCCAAAATGAGACCTTCAAAACAAAATAAATAAATATTTATCTATATTTAAATAATTACCCAAGAAATAATAACAATAAGGCCAGTAGGTATATATGACTGTACAACATGATAACCAATTTGTCTATTTAAATGAATTATCGCTTCCAAACAACTAAATTCATCTAAATATTTTTATTTTTTCAGTAATTGGATCTAGGTTATTTTTCATCTTCAAAGGGATAATTACAATTGAGGATCAAGAATATTTTTTAATTTATTTTTCCTACTAATTATATAAAAAATATTTTTTAGGTAGAAATAAATTTAAAAATTAATAAAAATTAAAAGATTTAGAGCAGTCGTATCTTATCCTTAAATATCTCCTTGAAGTAAGAAAATTTAATAATGAAGGGTATCCTATATAGTGTGTAGCTTAAGGTGAAGGTTATTTAATCAAAAAATACAGGTTGAAATAAAATACATCTTAAAATACCCCTTAAAATTGGAGGTATTTAGGATCCATTACCTAGGTCATAAATATTGAGGGTATTTATGACCTAGGTAGTACCACACGAAACAGAACAC